CCCCCCCTCCCCCTCGCCCCTCTCCCTGCCGCCCCTCTCCCTCATCCCCTCTCCCTCGTCCCTCTCCCTCTCGTCCCTCTCCCTGCAGCCCCTCTCCCTCATCCCCCTCCCTGCAGCCCCTCTCCCTGCAGCCCCTCTCCCTCGGCAGCTGCTCTTTGCTCCCTGCCCTGCCGCTGCCAAATTCCCGAGGGAGCAGTGGTCTCTGCTCAGCAGCCCCTTCTGCTCAGGAGCCAGAAAGCACCTGCACGAGCCACAGCCACCTTTGCTGCTGTAAAAGCCTCTCTGCTGCAAGAGGTACCCCGGCCTTGCACAAGATTTACCCGCCAGCAGCAGCGTAGGATGAATCCATGCCTGGAAAGGGCATACCTGGATTATTGATTCCAAAGTTCTCCAAGTTCTAGTGGAACTGAAATCCATTATGAAACTAACACCACTGCATAAAATAAGTGATGCATTCATGCATACTAGGTATGCCTCCATCATTTCTGCTTTAGGCATTTTTTGTGGCCAGACTGTGGAAGGAGCACAGGAGGACACTGTGCAGCTGGAAGTTTAAGTCAAGAGGCAGTGAGAAGAGAGGGATCCTGGACTGTGCTCCCCTCACGGGGGCTGATACATGCATGCTCAATCTACTTTGGACATCAGAGAATCTCCTTAAGGAGACACACGTGGCCATCCCACTCAAAAGTTATGCTGTATCAGCTGCTAGGAAATCCACTTCACCATCCAGGGATTCTCCTGCTAGGATTTTCTGCTGTCTAGTAAAGACACTGAGCCTCTGCAGCGCTGGTGCCGCTCAGTGCTGAGGCTGCAAAACAAGATGCTCAGCCTGGGCAACCAGACCTTCCTGCTCTCCATGGACAGGCTTCTGTAGGAAAGGGGAAGTGCCACAGTAGGAAAGGGAAGTGCTCCAGCAGTGCTCGTTTATGCAACATCACAAGTGCAGCGGCCACTAAAAACGAGCAGCTCTATTTTGCAATAACAGCCCATTCCCCCCTTGTGCAGTGTGTGTTCCCACACTGTCCAGAACCCTTATATTGCCTGTATCATAATCCTAAGGAATCTGTGTTGTTTTCAGGGAGTGAGAAAGACTGAACTCATTCCAAGCAATCTCCACAGACCTTCCCTGAGGGATCTGGCCCAAAACATCCTTGACTCTTGCTGCTCTTCCACTGCAGCTCTTGGCCTGACAAGCAGCACCTGTGCCACAAACTGTCCCCTCAACACCAGCCCCACACTCCAAACAGCCAGAGCTGTGCAGGAAAAACTACAGCTTGTGGAAAGTCCCAGGCTGAAACAATGACCAGAGTGGGGTTTTTTATCCCTCTCACTTCTCTAATTTCACAGTACCAAAGCCATTAATAAAAGCACTTCCTTACCAGAAATCAGGAGGGGGAAAAGACATGAGCATCTTCTTCCTGTAGGAACAGGCTTCTGGGCCTGGTATCAAATAGGACTTGTATTAAACCTGAGACAGACCACACCAGTTTCTAAATAGATGTTCCCGAGTATTCTTACTTGGCAAAGGGATTGTAAGGCAGTCAGTGGAAGGGAACACCTCCAGCAGTACAGGTTGGACAGCCAAGATAGTAAAAATTCTGTTTTAAAATTACCTGTTCCTTCCCTTTCTGTGCAATTCCTGCCAGACTGGCCCTGTGATTGACATGCCCGTGCCTGCCAGCTTCAACGACCTCACGCAGGACCCCAGCCTGGAGAACTACATTGGCTGGGTGTGGTATGAGAAGGAGGTGCTGCTGCCCCCCCGCTGGCTCCAGGGTGACCCCCCCAGCAGGGTGCTGCTCCGTTTCGGCAGTGCCCATTACTACGCCATGGTGGTACGTTGCATGGGTTGTTGTCCATGTGTTCCCACAGTTACCCTGTGCTAAGATCTGTCTCATGCCTCATCCTGGTTCTTCCTCCAGCAAACGACTCGGCCTTGTTTCCCAGATCTCTCTTCTCTCATCCTCCAGTATCAGGACTAGTAGTTAAAACGTTTCCTTGCCCAAAACAGTATCTCACAGTGATACTTGCTTGTACATGCCCCACCCCTAGGTCGCAGCAAGGGAAGGGCTGCTAGATTGATCCCTCCAAGAGCAAAAGCCCAGGATAAGGTTCAGTGTTACTGGAAATCCCGACAGCCCTTTGCTGGGCTTTTTCCATCCTCCCTGCTGTGCTTGCCACAGAAACCCTCCCTCTTGGACTTACGGCTGTCTCCTCCTGCAGTGGGTCAATGGAGTGCCAGTGGTGGAGCACGAAGGGGGTCACCTCCCTTTTGAAGCAGATATAAGCAGCATCGTCCAGGGCAGCCCGGGGGTCCCTTGCCGCGTCACTGTTGCCCTCAACAACACCCTGACACCCCACACGCTGCCTCCGGGGTCCATTCAGTACATGAGTGACAAAACAAGGTGAGTTGCTAAAGGGCTGTACAGGAGCTTATCCCAGGGATGAGAGGATGGGAATTCATTCAGCTGCTGGTTCATAAGACCCTCTGAGCAACGCAGGAGTTGTGTTGATGCCAACCCTCCAGTCGAGCAGGCAGGAGTTTAAGCTCTGGTGTTACGAGGAGTCTGCCCTGAGTTACTGCACCTGTTCTGTACTCTGGGATTAAGTGATCTGCCAAGCTGAAACAATGAGATTGGGCAAGCTTGAATTCAGCTGGAAACTGCAAGTACCAGCTCTCTTGAAGGACCAAAGCCATGCAGGGTGCCAGATGGTTGTTACCTGGTAGTCTCCTTCAGTGGAGCAGCAGCAGCACTAGAGACAGATCCATCCTGCTGTAAAGACTATTTTACCAGCTATAATCTATTTTTACATGACTATTTTATGTTGCCAGCTCCCACATGCTGCCTTCAGTTCTTGTGTAATGAAACATAATATAGCCATTTCTCCTGTCTTGCTCACTTAGGTATCCCAAGAACTATTTTGTACAGAACACCAGGTTTGATTTCTTTAATTATGCTGGAATCCATCGCCCGGTTGTGCTTTACACCACTCCTTCTGTCTACATAGATGATATTACTGTGACAACCACTTCATCAGAGAGTGTTGGTAGGT